GTAAATTTTTTTGATAGTGCCCAGTTTTCACTAGTGTTCACGGACAGATTGCCCTGCTCACGGTCTTATAAGACCGTGAACAGGCAAACGAGTCAGTGAACCAGAATGCTTCCACGTGTGTCAAACCCATCGACTTGCCTGAGTTACCGCACGGATTGTAGTGTTCACGGTCCTAACGACCGTGAACTGGCTAAAGCGTATGTGAACTGCAAGGTCTGCCTATAAAAGGGTCGTGAACAATTTTCCTCACTTCACGTGACGCCCCATCTCTTTTCAAAAATAAAAAATAACTCAAACCAAAAAACGGTTACTCCAGAGCAACCCAAACCACATTTTAAAATAAACAACCGACATCATTTAAGAATTTTTAGCGAAAAGCCCCAACACGTGTGTTGATTGAAATGCTCATAGGGGAGATAATGACAAAATTAGGTTCATGAATTGTGGAAAGAGTCACCATAGTAAAGAATGCAAGAAAAATGTGAGGTGTAGTAAATGTACTAGAAGAGAACATACTAAACAAGAGTGTCATTCAAGAATTGTATGTTATTGTTGCCATAAACAAGGACATATTAGGAGAAATTGCTACTACAATAACTACTATAACTCATATCGATCGTATCCCAAGAAAAAGGTACTCAAGTAAGTCAAGGTACCAAAATCAACACTCTAAATATTTTGCAAGTCATTAAGAGAGCATGAGCAAATGAATGGTATCTAGATAGCGAATGCTCTCACCATATGACGGGAAACAAGAGCCTCTTTTCATAATTGACTCTTAAAAAGGGATGTAAAGTAACGTTTGGTGATAATCGTAAAGGTAGAATACTTGGAGTTGGAACGATTGGAGAGCCTCCAAATCCTACCTTCACTCAAGTGTTATTTGTTGTTAATCTTAAGCATAACTTGTTATCTATTAGTCAATTATGTGGTACATCTAATAGAGTTGTGTTTCAACTGGAGGCATGTCTTATTGAGAGGATCAAAGACAATAAACTATTATTCCTAGGGGTCAGGAAAAACAATGTTTATGTCATTGATCTTAGTAAAAATGCTTCATTCAATGAAACCTGTTTTCTCTCTTTAGGTAAGAACAAGCTATTTCAATGGCATCGAAGACTAGGACATGTTAGCATAAAGAGATTGGCTAAATTAGCTAAATTGGGTCTAGTAGATGGTCTCCCTCAACTAAAAGAATCAAAGGACTTCTTTTGTGATGCATGTATTCTAGGAAAACAAACTCGAGCATCCTTCAAGAGTATATCTCACTTCACTTCATCCAGACCTTTAGAGCTTCTACATCTAGATCTGTTTGGGCCTACGAATGTGATGAGCTTTGGTGGAAAGTATTATGCCTTTGTCATAGTAGATGATTTTTCTAGGTATACATGGGTAATCTTTATGACTCATAAAGATAAAGCTCTTGAGAAATTCAAGACCCTTGTCAAAAATATTTAGAATGAGAAATCCCTCAATGTTAAAAGCATCATAAATGAGCATGGAGGAGAGTTTGATTCAGAAAGCTTTGAAAACTTCTGTGATCAACTAGAAATCTCCCATGAATTTTTAGCTCCTAGGACTCCTCAACAAAATGGTGTATTGGACAAGAAAAATAGAGCTCGCATAGAACTAGCTAAAACAATGCTCAGTGACTATAGGCTTCCAAAATATTTTTGGGCTGAAGTAGTAGCTACCGCTTGTTATGTTCTAATTAGAACATTGATTAGGGCCATCATAGAAAAAACCCCTTATGAAATCTGGAAAGATCGGCTACCAAATAGTAGTTATCTTAGACCATTTGGGTGTAGATGCTTTATACTCAACACTTAAGGAATCTCTATGAAAAATTGACTCAAAGTGAGATGAAGGAGTACTTTTGGGATATTATACTCGTAGTAAAGACTATAACGTTTTCAACAAGAGATCCTTGAAGGTCGAGGAATCAATACATGTTGTTTTTTTTATGAAACTGACTATATCTCTGAGCATGAACGAGAGCAGAATGATGATAAGGATGATTTTTGACTAATTCGAACGATGACAACCTCAGTCACTCAAGAAACGGAGCTTTGAAATGATAAGTTATCCAAATCCCAAGAGCCAAGTGCACCACCTCATATTGCTAAGGCACATCCTCCGCATCAAGTCATTGGGAACATCAATGATGGGGTCAAAAAAAGATCAAGTAAGGACTTGTATCAAGGTCAGACTTCTTACTTTTCACTTCTTGCTACAGTCTATTTATCCTTAATTGAGCCTAAAAACGTTAAGGAAGCCTTACTTGATGAAAGTTGGCTTCTTGCTATGCAAGAAGAAATGCTTCAATTTGCTAGAGCTCAAGTATGGGACTTGGTTCCTAGACCAATAGGTAAAACTATTCTAGGGCTTAAATGTGTCTTTCGCAATAAAACGGATGATCAAGGGATAATTAATAGGCATAAGGCTCGATTGGTGGCTGACACGCTAAAACACAACACCAAACTGCAAACAAGTGTAATGGCAGTCCGAAAATGCAGTAAAGTGGCAAGCTCTATTTTTCAACCCGGGGTCCAGATCTACTGCCTACTCCATGATTATCTATTATCTAGCAAACTAAGTCGAGTGATTGTGATTTAAGCAAAAGCAGTAAGAAAGCAGGAAATGGTTCAAATTTCTTTAGCAAGGGAAGAGTCACTCGGGAATGAGTCTGTAACACCCTACCCTATACGTTTTGCCTAATCATATTGTTCATACAATTGCAGCGGAATTAATCTCGGGTGTTACATTAATTATCAAAATTTACCTAAATAAAATTTCGACATGAATTACTCGCGTAATGGGCTAACAGTTCTTCCATATGATCCTGCAAAATAATTCATCTGAATCCATGCATTCATAGACAAACACATATACTCACAACCATATGCATTGGCTTTTCATAGCCATAGTCACAGTTTCATACTACACAACTGCATACTATACTGATACATGCTATAATTATCACTACTTACCTAATTACACAATATACACATATCATCAACTTTCCACACCTGTGGATATCTCACACTACATCAGAAGCTAGTATGCACATGAAAAACGTTCTCAAAACATTCTTTTACAAAAAGGTGTAGATCACTGGCCAAAATCCCGAGTAGTAGTCCAAGCACAGAATGGTTGAAGACCATACCTCATCTTGCCTTCAACTCTTGCTCAGCTCCCACCTATACACCTATCTACTGCTGTTGCTGATGATCTACTTACACATAGCATAAGCAGAGAAGAAGAATAAAAGAGGGTCAGCTCATAGCTGAGTGAGATAATCATAGCATCGTGAGTTCATAACATAGCATACCACTACCATACATCTAGCAAACAAGCCAAAGCACTAGGATCAGATCTCAGCCCTCCGACATCCCAATAGGCAAAAGACTCAACCACCTTGACTTATGCATATGCATCTTATCATGTTTTTATCATAGGCGCCTGGCTACTCCCATGCTAATAACTCTCCCGGGAAACATACCCCACATCCCGTCGGATGTAGTCATACATACCCCACATCCCGTCGGATGTAGTCATACATACCCCACACCACTATGGGTGTAGTCATACCCCGACACCGCTCTAGGTGTGGTCATATCTCATAAGAATTCTTCAGTCACCACCACATGAGAGGTGTGACTATCATACATATCATAATAGAGTAATAGCATAGGGAGCCCTAATTACTATGTAGTTGACCGTGAGACCACAACACTCATATTTGGTATCCTTATACATGATTCATGTCTCATCTTGCTTAATCATAATTCGTTACTTGCACATGTACTTGACCAGGCCACAATTGGCTCAACATAGGTAAATCAGGAGTCGTATAATTGCACTTCCTCGGGATAAACCCTCGTGCAAGTCATCCTCCTTAAAAATCATAATATCACCTTGGGAAGTTTATTCCACCACTTATGGATCCAAATACAACCATAATATCACGCCATGTCAAAACCCCTTATCGAACAACCATGAAGTCATATCAACAGTTAAGCCACAAATGGCAACATGTATGCAATCATCCACATAAACAAAGTTCATATCGATTAGGGCAAGTCAATAATATCATACAACAGTCCAGGGTTCATCATATAGCACAAAAATCCATACACCCCTAATCATGCCATTCTAGTTCACCTAGATCAATTCTAAGCATCAATATAATTATCGTGATACGACAAACCCGGTATGCCGTGCTAATCCCTCACCAGTTCTGGTCGTTCAAACACCGGCTTAAGCTTCCCCGTACTAAAACATCAATTTCACGAACGAACCCCGAATTAAAATCCGAGACCGTCCTAATATCCCCTGCAGTATCCCCGTCAATATTAGTTCTAGGCTTCGGGTCAAATTCTCGATAAAAACACATCAAACCCTGGCCGGAGCTAAATTCAGCGATCCCGGCTCCGATCTAAATAATAGCCGAAATTCAGGGATTAGAACTAGGGGATTGATGACCTCGCGGCAGGAAGCTCGTATATGAAATTTGGGCTCAATCCGGCTTCCGGATACTCCGAAACCCTAATTTGGCTTATCAGGAATTCAAGAAATTCCTGAACCAAAAACTCGTTTTAAAGCTCTAAATCGATAAATCACGATGTATGGATGAATTAGGCATTACTTACGGGATTTTTGGATCACTAGAGCTTAGGATTTGAGCTTTGGAAATTCTCCCCAGTCGCTCCCCTGCATTCGCTCGCTCTGCTTTTCTCTCGGTCCGGAAGTGAAAGGAAGATGGGGAAATTAAATGAAATGGCGGTGGGGAATTAATTGGATATATATATATATATATATATTATAATTAATACGTATACTTATCTGATCGATCGATAATCCGATTTTCGTCGAAATAGTGTCGAAATGCTCGATTTTAAATCGTGAAATTTTCTAGTGATTGAAATATGGGTTTTGCCGGAACGGGATGTTACAGAGTCCCCCTGGCTCGTTAGTTAGGTCAAGGTTGTAATTACCCTGGGTTGATTAACAGTTGATTAAACGGCGGAAGATCCGACAGTAGCATGGAATCTCTAAGCTGACCAAGCCCTCTTAGGCAGACTAACCGGCAGGCGACTAGCCTTCACCGGGATAGACTGCTGAGGCGATAAGCACAGAACTCCACTACTGGAATTGGATTCCAGTACAAAGCAGTAAATCGATTAACTCTCTTATAACCAATCTACCCTTAATGATTTTGATCTACGGTTACGAATGCAATTGTGCACTCAGTAGTGAACTGGAATGGTGCATCCTTCTCCAGCAGCTTGGTCAGAGGGAGGGCAATCTTTGAGAAATCTTTACTGAAGCGCCGGTAGAAGCCTGCATGACCCAGAAAGCTGTGAATTCCCTTCACATAAATGGGAGGAGGTAGCTTACTCATCGTCTCAATCTTCGTCCGATCTACCTCAATCCCCTGCTTGGAGATCTTGTGCCCGAGCACAATCCCGTCACAAACCATAAAATGGCACTTCTCCCAGCTGAGTGCCAGATTAGTCTTCTCGCACCTCTTCAGAATGAGTTCCAAGTTATGGAGACAATGAGTGAAGGAGTCTCCATAAACCGAGAAGTCATCCATGAAGACTTCCATGATCTCTCCGACCAATTGGTCGAAGATCGCCAGCATGCATCTCTAGAAGGTCGACGGTGTATTACACAGCCCGAATGGAATCCTACGGTAAGCAAAAGTACCAAAGGGACAAGTGAATGTGGTCTTCGCCTGATCCTCTAGCGAGATAGGGATCTGGAAATAACCAGACATGCCATCCAGGAAGCAATAAAACTCATGGCCAGCCAACCTCTCCAGCATCTGATCAATGAAAGGTAGGGGAAAATGGTCCCTCTAGGTGGCGTCGTTCAGGTGCCTGTAATCGATGCAGACTGTCCAGCCAGTCACGGTCCACATCGGGATCAGCTCGTTCTTCTCATTCGCGGCCACAGTCATCCCGTCTTTCTTCAGGACCACCTGAGTGGGGCTGACCCAATTGCTATCATATATAGCAAAAATGATCCTTGTATCCATCAGCTGAACAATCTCTGCCCGGACCACTACCTCTAAGTTAGGAGACAATCTCCGATGTGGCTGCCTGACTGGCTTAACCTCATCCTCCATCAGAATTCTGTGGGAGCAGAAGGATGGGATAATGCCTCTGATATCTGTTATCTTCCACGCCATGGCCCGGGCATACTTCTGCAGCAGAGCCACCAGCCTGTTCTTCTGGTCGGGTATCAGATCCGAGCTGATAATGACCGAGAGCTTATTCCCCTCCCGGAGAAATGCATACTCCAGGTGAGAGGGGAGGGGCTTAAGCTCCAGTTTCGGTGGCTCCTCCAGTGATGTGGTGATCAGGGGCGAGATAGGGATCGGTTTAAATGATTTCTCTTGCCCCTCGATTGCAGCTCCGTCTAGCTCCGCAAGTTGCTCCTCCAGTTGCAACTCCTGCGATGTCTATTCCCATAGAAAAAGACAACGCTCGAGGAAATCGTCAGTACCCGCACTCGTGATGGCGATTGCGGTCTCAAAATCAGCAATAACATCGAAGTAGAGTAGTTCATCATGGAGTTGGGGTGTTTCATATTATCAGAAACAGAGAAGGTGATTGGTTCACCCTCAGCCCGCAAAATTAATTTCCCATCATTCACATCAATAAGTGCCTTGGAGGTGGCAAGAAAAGGTCTACCCAGTATTAAAGGCACATCCACATCCTCATTTATATCAAGAATCACAAAATCAACAAGATATGAGAATGGCCCTACTGCGACTATCAAGTCCTCTGCAATGCCCCTAAGATGCACAATGGATCTATCAGCAAGTTGAATGCTCATCCTAGTATTAATAAGTTTACGTAGACCTAGCTTTTTAAACAGTTTATATGGCATGACATTTATGCTAGCGCCTAAATCCGTCAAGGACTTTCCTATATGCAAACTACCAATCATGTAGGGGATAGTAAAACTCCCTGGGTCTTTGCGCTTCTCTAGTAGCTTGTTCTGCAGGATGGCAGAACACTCCTCGTTGAGCATCATCGGCGATAGCTCTTCAAGCTTCCTCTTGTTGGTGAGGAGATCCTTCATGAACTTAGCATACTTGGGCATCTTCGATAATGCCTCCACGAAGGTCGTACTGATGTTTACCTGCTTCTGCATTGCCATGAACTTGGCAAACTCAGTCTCCAGCTGGTCTTTGTGCGACCGAGTAGGAAAGGGAAGTTGCGGGACATACTCCTTCACCACTGGTTCTGGCTTAGGAGTAGGCACCTCAACCTCCTTCTCCATTTATTCTTCGTTAGCAGGAAGTGCTGAAGCATGGGTCTCTCTCTCATGTGCCCGGACAGGTGGATCAGCAGTCACCTTGCCACTCCTGGTAGTAATGGGTTGCAGTGCTCATTTGGGTCCTGCAGATGAGGGATGGTCTGACCGGGTAAAGTACCAGGAGTCCTCTGGGCTACATCCTGTGCCACACGCCCAAGCTAGGTCTGGATATCCCGCAGTACAGCCTGCGTGTTTCTCTAGCCAACTTCTAGCCCCAAGAATTTATCTGAGGCTTTCTCCATGAACTGCTCGATATTACTGAACTTATTTGCACTAGATGTGGCCAGAGAACCCACCAGATCTCGCAAATTGGCCATCGGATCACTCTGCACTAGGGCTGCGGGGGCTGCATCTGACTGCTAAAATGGTCGCACCGGTGACTGGGGAGGAACTGGCCCCTGTCTGGGCTGGTAAAGAGGCTGTTGGTCAGGTAAAGAGCCTAACGGTCCCTGGGAGAATAGTGATCTAGGATTGGTCCCATCCCAGGAGAAGTTGGGATGCTGGCGCCGCCCCTCGTTTTAATTGTTGCTGTAGGGGTCGAAACGCCTGGCATTGCCGATGAAGTCCACCTGCTCCTGGATAGTAGTCGACTCCCTCATCGCCTGACAGTCCTCCACGGTGTGATGGGAGCTTTCACACCACTGGCAGTGCATTGCCTACTGCTGTCTTGTACCTGAAATCATTTCAGAGCAATCGATGGCTGAAACTAGTTTGGACATGCACCAAATCAGACGACTGGGTGGCTATAACATGCACACCCCGCCCTGGTGCTCGTCTCGATCTCCTCGCAGTTCCCCAATCATATCCCTGCTCTGCCATCTCTTCAAATAGTTGATTTAGCTGTGGCGGTGTCTTGGTGAGCATATTCCCGCCGCAAACCGAGTCAATCAGCTGCTTGTCTTCCGGGAAGAGGGCATGGTAGAAGGTGCCCACCTTGAAGGCGTCAATAAAACCATGGTTGGGACACTTGAGGAAAACACTGGTGTATCTTTCCCAAGCATTCTGGATGGTCTCATCTTCATCCTGGGCAAAGTGGGTGATTTGCTTCTGCAGGTCCGTCGTCTTGGACGGAGGATGATACCGGGTGAGGAACTTGTCCGCTAAGTTGGCGACATGGTGATCGAGCCTGGAGGTCGAGTCCGCGCAGCATGGGGATAACAGAGGTGCTCACCTCAAAGTTATTTGCTGGAACTTGAGGGTGCTGAATGGGCGACCTCATGTCCGCGGCTCTAGCGGTCCAGTTATACCCCATAGTCTGCTCATCGGGAATGACCACATCATTGTTCTGTGGTTCACCCATTTCTTCCTCCTTGATGATTTGTAGTTGTGCTAGAGCCTCCACTGCAACCAGTCGCGCCTTTAAAGCCCGCTTGAAGTTCCTACAAGTCCGTTCAAGCTCTTGGTCTAATGGTAGTAAATCTCCAGACTGGCTACGGGTCATGCACTACCTGCACGCAATCAGCAAAAGCAACCCATGAAGGCACACAGGTGGAAGAGAGAAAATGCAGTAAAGAAAATGCTAAAGTAATAAACTTTCACGTTTCCAAAATAACCTAGAAGTATCCCCGGCAACGGCACCAAAAACTTGACACGCTAAAACACAACACCAAACTGCAACCAAGTGTAATCGCTTCCGGAAATGCAGTAAAGGGGCAAGCTCTATTTGTCAACCCGGGGTCCAGATCTGCTGCCTACTCCGTGAATATCTATTATCTAGCAAACTAAGTCGAGTGATTGTGATTTAAGCAAAAGCAGTAAGAAAGCAGGAAATGGTTCAAAGTTCTTTAGCAAGGGAAGAGTCACTCGGGAGGAGTCCCCCTACCTCTTTAGTTAGGTCAAGTTTGTAATTATCGTGGGTTGATTAACTATTGATTAAACTGTAGAAGATCCGACAGGCAGACAAACCGGCAGGCGACTAGCCTTCACCGGGATAGACTACTGAGGCAATAAGCACAGAACTCCACTACTGGAATTGGATTCTAGTAAAAAGCAGTAAATCGATTAACTCTCGTATAACCAATCTCGTATAACCAATCAGATTCTATCTATCTCAGGTTGCAGCATAAATCAAGAAAAGTTGATCAGGCTTCAATTGACTCAATGAATCATGCATCAATCGATTAAAATCAACCAGTATATCAATCCAAAGTCATTACAATCAAGATTCCTAATACATGGAACTAGTGTTCTTCATACCCAAGTGAGAGAAGGTTCTACTCCATAGAGAGAGAGGAAAACAGAAATCAGAGTAGTCATACTCATAAAGATGAGGATAATCTGCTATGGGATGTCGATCTACACTCTTGGGGATGCAATATGGGTTTCAATGGTGAGAAATCCACTCCAAATAGCTCCTAGGGTTTGTCCTTCGCACTTTCTCTCTCTAAAGCTCTGTTTTTTGCTCAAAAACACAATTTTTTCTCCTTTGGCTTGAATCTGCCTCAAAAGCCCGATTTTGGGCAAAACACGGTCGAGGAAACGGCCGTGTTTCACTTTTGCCCGTCCGTGTTCTCACCATGTGTTGAAAACACGCCCGCATCAGCATAAAACACGGTCGTGTCCACTAATTGACACGAACATGTTTTACTCCAGGGGTGCCCGTGTTTTGGACTTCTCGGCAGCCTCCAAAAACACACTCTCAGCATAAAAAGCACGGTTTGAGACACGACTGTGCTTTTCTTTAGTGCAGCCCGTGTTTTGCTTCTTCATCGATTCAACTCTCGCACTAAAAAACACTGGCGTGATCATTTGTGTACACGGTCGTGCTCTTCAGGCCTTCTGCCCGTTTTTGACCCCAGCTCGACCAAATGACCTCCAAAATCCCTGAAACTCGTGCCTAGCCTTCCTATCGACATCTGGGTCCTGAACTGTGACAAAGTAGCACAACCCAGCTTAAAATAGGCCAAAAATGCATGACTACGAGCCGAAAACGGATACGAACTAAGGGTGCAAACATGTGCAAATACATCATTATTAGTGGCTAAAGGCTATAATCAAGAAGAAGGCATAGACTATGATGAAACATTTGCTCGCGTAGCCCATATTGAGGCAATTAGACTATTGTGTGCCTTTGCTGCTTCAATGAATTTCAAATTATATCAAATGGATGTCAAAAGTGCATTTCTGAATGGTGTCCTTCATGAAGAGGACTATGTAGAACAACCCCCTGGTTTTGAAGATCATTGGTTTCCTTACCATGTTTTCAAGCTTAAAAAGTCTCTCTATGGCTTTAAACAAGCTCCTCGAGCATGGTATGAATGTCTAACTCAATTCCTAGATAGTGAAGGGTTTGTCAGGAGTTTTGTTGATACAACTCTATTTCTCAAAAAACATAACAATGACCTTATGGTTTTCCAAATTTATGTTGATGACATAGTTTTTGGTGCTACTAATGAAGCTATGTGTGTAGAGTTTGCCTCCTCCATGCAACACAACTTTGAAATGAGCTTGATGGGTGATGAGCCTACCTACTTCCTAGGACTTCAAATCCAACAAACTTCAAAAGGAATTTTCATTAGTCAGACAAACTATACTCAGTCAATGTTGACAAAGTTTGATCTTAGTAATCTTAATTCTAGTTCGATCCCAATGGCTACCAATATCCAACTAGACAAAGATGAAGGTGGTATAGATGTCGATGAACGTAAATACTGTGGGATGATAGGCTCGCTTCTCTATCTCATGGTAAGTAGGCCAAACATTATGTTCAGTGTTTGTATGTGTGCTCGTTTTCAGTCCAAGCCTAATAAAAGTCATCTTAGTGTCGTTAAGCGCATCTTTAGTTACTTGAAAGGTACACCTACTCTAGGCCTATGGTACCCTAGGGAAATAAATCCTGAGATTATGGGGTTTAGTGATTCAGACTTTGCCGGTAGTAGAACGGATAGAAAAAGTACCTTTGGATACTGTCAATTTTATGGTCGATCCTTAATTTCATGGTTTAGTAAGAAACAACACTCCGTAGCATTCTTCTATGGTAAAGGACTCTACTAGCGGACTATGGGATGATACTAACTACCGTCCCCATTTTGTGTGATACTACGAGTGCCATTAATATGCCCAAAAACCCGGTTCAACACTGTAGAACAAAACATATCGAGATTTAATATCATTTCCTTCGAGATCTAGTTCAGAGTAAAACTGTGTCTATCTCGTTATACCTATGAGTGATCAACTAGCGGATATTTTCACTAAACCACTTCCTATAGTTCAATTTATCTTTATTCAAATTGAGTTAGGAATGATTTTCCAATCTAAGCTTGCTAGTTTTGGATCATGAACTTACCTTCTCTTGATTATTCGTTTACCTCTTTGTCCTTCCATTTGTGTTGGCCTAGAATCCTATCTAATAAAACAAAATTTGCTAATAAGTCAAAATAAAAACATAAATAACGTTAAATAAATAATTAATTAAATATATAAACAAAAGAAAACAAAAATGACAATCCCCAGCTGCGCGAAGACCTCATCTTTTCCAGCGACCAGTCTCGAAGTTTCCTCTGCTAAACCCTTTCCCTTTCTTCTCTGATCGCGATTCTCAATCGCTAATTCTTGCACATCAATTTCTAATCTCCATTCTTCCAAATCTCCATTTCCCAATAATCGATTCCCAATCACATTCTTTTCCTTTCTGCCTTCCTTTTCAAATCGCCGATTATGATCTTCTCAAGCTCTCCGGCGAAAACGCCGGTGTCTCTGCATATATATACACTGCCTCCTTCTCCATTCCACTCCTCGCCAAGAAAATCAGCACTAAACCTTCCTCACTTCTCGTTTCCTGGCTGCCAACAGCGACATCATGAGCTTCCTCTCCGATGACTCGTTTGCCATGACTCCAACGCTCTTTTGTCGCCAGGAGAAGATCGTTTCGTTTACCGGCGCGCTCTATGCCCATCCTGTTGGTGAGAATCGTCATCTCCAGATTTTTGCCGTGAAGCCAATTCTATCGATCTGTACTCTTGATCCATATGCATTCGCCTTCGTCGACTCTGTGGACCCCATCTCACTCATCGACAACCTGGGTTGGCTCCCAATGGGTGATTCGCCTCCTCGCAGCTACTGCCCAGCTGCCATTCGTGCCTTCTATTCCGATCTCCGAATAGATGGGCTCACAACGGGCAAATTCACTACTCTCGTATATGGTCACATGCTTATCCTTTCTGTTGATGATCTTGCTGCGTTCCTTGTTCTGCCTACTCTAGGCAAGCAGCTAATTATCCCTTCAGAGTTCTGGTCCTACAAGTTTGACATGCGCCAGGAAGCCACAAATCGCTCCTTTGATTCGCTGGATTACTCACTCAAGCTTCTACACTACTACATCACACGAGTGTACTTTCCTCGCACTGACCGCTTGGATGTCGTTGTCGTTCTGCCTCTTGATTGTTGGGTCATGTCTCACGCCATCTCCGATATGTCTTTGAGCTATCCTCACATGTTGTTTGGGGAAATCGTGGATGCTGCTTCCAACGAATCTCCCATTGTTGGTCTTCCTTTTGCTGCGCTGATTACGCTGCTGCTTCAGCGTGTCAGTGTTCCTTTCGCTGACTTTATCATCGTTTCTGACAATGGTGTTCATCCCACCATCGATGAGGTGCTTGCTGTGGTGGGAATACCCCCCATTGTTGATTTATCATCAGGGGTAGATGACCATGTGGACACGAACGCAGCTATTAGAGAAAGATGTGATGAGCTCGCCAAAGACGAGGAGTCCGCGGATGGTGCTGCATTTGCTTCCTCCTCTGTCTGTCCCTTCAAGCTCAAGCGACAGGCTAAAGGACCGCGTCCTTCTAGCAGAGTTCTCAAGCGTCTCAGGAATCGAAAACCATCTCAAGGAGTGGTTCTTTATGAGAATCATGATATTGAGCAAAACAATTAAAAGCCTTAAGTTTGGGGGAGCAAGTTTCGAGTAGTTGCTTGTTGCTCTTTTAAACGGTTTATTTGAACTATTGCTTTTAAGGTCTTGATTGGGTCAGGGGGAGTATTCAATTATGCCTCTTATTTGCATTGTTGAGTGTTTTGATTGAATAATGTCATGAGCTATACACAGGATGAATGAAGTAATTTGTTTTCTTAATAATCTGTGGCGTAGGATGAATGAGTGATCTAATAGCTTTTGTTCTTTAATCTTGAGCTTTATGGTGAATGAAGCATATGCAGTAACAGGATGCTAAATCAAGCTTAGGGGGAGAATGTTGAGTCAACAAGCTTGACTTAGCAAATTGAATATCATAGGATATTTTGTTTTGAATATATGATATTAGGTTGAACTAACAATCTATGCAGAAATATCACAATCAATGCTAAGGTAAAAGGAAAGAATTCAAAGGGATTGCTTGCCCTCAATGGAGTTGTCATATCAAGCAAAATGTGTATCAAATCAAGGAGATACTTGCCACGTAAAGGACTACAAATGAAAGGAAATGAAGTCTCACATCCACTATAAATAGGAGAGACATTTATAGGCCAAGACACCTTTTGCAAAGCTCTCTTCTCCCTAGTAAATACTGTGAACGTATTTCGTGGTGTGAATAGCTTGATATCTCGGAGGTTGAGATAGTCAAGCTAGGTATGGTTTTAGGGTAGGAAGGGTATTTGTGATTGGGACTAGTGCAAGAGCAAGAGGGGATTCTTGGTTGGAAATTGTAGTAGGTGGATTGCTCTTCAATCAAGTCAAACTAAGAGTGTTGGCTTTATTGATTGAGTGGGTAACTTAGCTTGGATTTATCTAAGGATTCAATAGGTGTGGAGTTTCACCTATTTGGTTCTTGACACGAAGTGTCAAGGTTCTTTCAATTTCATAGGTTAGAGAGTCTTTTATTTTAATAAAAGTTAGAGTCTCTCGTGAGATAGAGGTAACTATATCTGGGACGTGGATGTAAAGCCATATTTGCCGAACCACGTTAAAATCGCGTGTCCCGATTATTCTCTCTCTCTCTCTCTATATACCTTCTCTAACCTTGTCCTCTTCATCAGCGCCAAGAAATTAATCACTTCAAGAGAGATTTTTGGCAAGTCCTTTTGGATTACTCAATCAAGCTTGTGTTAATCTCTCACTATTGAAATCTAAATTAATTTGAGCATTGACCACGTCGAAAGTATTCATTATTGACCTCGCTTGGTCCAACAGGAGGTTGATCATAGAACCCGGTTCCTTGGCTTCCACCTTCTTGGTTACTCCATGAAACTCCGGGATGCCCCCATTCGGGTGGTTGTGCATACCCCCAACATGTTGTAGAAGCCATTGGGATCCATGATTCAACCTACATAAACAAAAACTCAAAAAAAAAAAATTTCAAACAAAGACAAACCACCCTTCAAGATAAAGAGTGGGTAAACAAAACACAACACGAAACACGAAACACAAAACACAAACAAAAAGGCAAGATAGAAAATGCTAGAGTAACACTAAGCGACCTTTTGAAAATAATGAACCGCGGTTCCCCGGCAGCGATGCCAAAAACTTGACTCTCATGAAACTACACCACACATTAATCCCGACTAGAGCTCAAGTTTTTAAACTCTAGCCGGGTGCAGTATAGAGCAAGTATTTAAATATCGACCCGGGCCGATCCATGTACCCCTACTTCAATCGCTCAAGTTGTTATCTACCAAAACACTTCTGGTTTTCAAAACATGAACACTACAAACTAAACAAGCAAGGAAAAGTAAATAAAGGAAAACTCTAACTAAAGGGAGCTTCACCCAGGAATTGCTTCCCCCTAACTAGCTACCATGACTTGTTGGATTGAACGAAGTCGTGAGGCATAGGTGGTTGCAAACCTCGGGGGTGAGCAACTAGTGATCAATCTGTCATGGCATCAATTCACTAATGATCGATTTGTCACGAGATCGATCCACTCACCAAGTCTAGGGGAACCGCTAGGAGGAGCAACTAGCTATCTGAAACACCCTAACCCGGCCGGGTACTACTTTTACTAAAATGCCCTTGATAACTAAAATAGTCAAATCTTAAATTGCAACTGGGGAAAATTTTAATAAATAAAATACTGAAAACACACACTGGTAGCTCAGAGCAAAGCCCTAACACGTGGGCAAATTAAACTCAAACTTTAAAATCTCAAAATGATCTCTAGTCTATACTCATAATCATAAGATGTAAATAGCTAGGTAGTCTATGTCGTTGCTGCTATTGAAAAACTTAACTAGGCATCCTCCGTGACGCTTATATTGCTCTCCTCCAGCTGGCTGACCTCGAACTCGCGGCTCACTAATTGCTCCTCTAGCTCCTCTAGCTCTTCAAACTGGTGAGTGAGATGGGGTAAGTCTACGCCCTTACGTTTTTAACTTTCTAATAATTTTGCACTTCTTCTCAAACACTTAAACTCAAACTGAGGGAAGTTTGTACTTCCATTCTTAAAAATCTTAACTCTTAAAACTGTATGGGAGTAACTGTTACCCTCCACTCTTAAAGCTTAAATCTCAACTTAAATACTTGACTGACACTGGGATCCCCCACTAGCTAGTCCGGTTGCCAACTCATACGTATGAGAAGCCATTCAGGCTTTCCTTAAACTTAAACTTAGTTAGGGAAGTCGTAACAATTCACCCCCTAACATCTTAAACTTAGTTAGGGAAGTCGTAACGATTCATCCCCCTAACATCTTAAACTTATTGTGGTGGCTCTTCACCACGATTCTCAAGGGCATAACTGCTGCTAGTGACTAAAAACACTTAAAACGACCTCACCTTCTTGAAGGTGAGTTACTTCTTTAAAAAGAACTTGACTCTTAACCTTAACGATAACTTATAACATCACGCTTTAAGATAAATGGCACAAAATCACCTTAAACCATAGCTCAGGCAAGGCACAAATAATCAATCACACACATAATCAAACAATGGTAACCAATTCGCTAAAATACTAAAAATAAAAAATACTTAAAAAAATACGTAAGGCGTAGAATTTACCCTTTTACACTCACATCACGATCGAGTTGATTGAATCGAACAAACCATCCTTCAAGGTTGATCGTCTTAGGGCCCTCTCTCCTTGAGGGGTGTATACAAGCCCCCATTCCTCCATGTACTTCCAAAAGTTTCATACATGACCATCCCTTACAATAACAACATAAGAAGACGACTCTCCAACTGATTGAGGATGGCCACGGAAAACCAAGCTCCCATCAACTGGCTGCCCATGATCATTAACAACAACTCCAACATTGTCAACCAACAACAAGACCTTCTTCTCTTTCCACAACACTTTTAGCAATGGCGATCTAGAAGAATCGGGCAAGCTGAAGATAACCTCACTTTGCCCAGTGACACAGGAAAATAAGCTATACCCCATCATTGTACCAACAATTATCGAGTCATTGAGCCATGCAATCGTTTTAACCCCTTCAGCACTACTCTTACTCTGGATCTCTTTCAGCATCACAAAAGAACCATTCAAACCGCTAGCACCACCTTCATGTTTCACTGTTCTGGAATCGCTGCCAAATACAAGCTCTACCAATACGATCTTTTTACCAACCGGCAACCGCAACTGCAAAAACGTTACAGTTCCCTTCAACTTGTTGGGTAGAGTCTCTGGTTTTCACTCCGTTAGCTCTAACCCCGCCGCCCAATTTCTGCAAAATGCGTAGACTCGCACTCGAAGATTCCGAATCGGTCGTAGTAGCCAAGATACTCAATATGTCAGAGCTACACGACTCGTCACTGATGATTCTCTTCGCAATTGCAGAAACTCCCTTAACCAAACTCAATTTCTTGAGCTGCTGATCCAATAGCGAGTCGGTCAAAAACAAGGAACCGTCGCAGAGAACTAGAAGTTTCCCCATCTCGCCAAGGACCAGCACTGTTTCCACAGGAGAATCCCCAACTGAAACACTCCGCGTAAAGGAAATTTTCCTCTTGGAATCATCGTCACGGTCGTCGGGAGTCGCAGCACGGCTAGACGCGGAGACGGAATTGGTGGCGAGCAGGAGTAAGGATCCGGAGTACGTATCGATGTAGATTGGAGTTGGGGAATCGGGAGGCTAGCTTAGGTTTAGAGGTTTATATATATATATATATATAATAGTAATAATAATAATAATGATAATAATAGTTATTATTATTATTATTATTATTATTATTAATATTCCTAATCCCCGGTTGCAACTCTTCGTACATGCTCGTTAAACCAACCGTTCACGTATTATGGTCGAACCGAAACTCAAAGGTCGGGGTGTTACACTATCCATTTGTCACAGGATGGATTAGCTAGGGATCGATTTGTCACGGGATTGATCCTCTCACTCAGGCTCCAGTGGTTGCCTAGGTCACTCCCTCTAACTGGAGTTTGAGAGGCTTAATCACAGCCAACCTAGATGCAAACTGGTAACCGTGTGCCGTAGAGGGATGCATATGTGGTCGGAGACCACAATCTCAATTGCTAAACCAAGGTAAGCATGAAAGGCCGTGTCACTCGACCCTCTCGGTTTAGACAATCGGTAGTTGACTTACTCCCTCACTCACCTCAAGGTTGGACGGCTTAATTGCGATTAACCGATTTGCATAACTCAATATTGAGGTTTGTCCTAACTTAACCTAGTTTAGGTGGCTTAGAAAGCGGAAGGAAAACCAACTCGATTTAGTCTCCCTTGAAAGGGGGATTTTCCTCTCTAAGCTAGGCTAAGGTGGCTAATTAGAGTGCTAGCACCTACATGCACAAACCTAAGGGTGATAAGCACAATCCTTAGGTTGCTAAGCACCTAAATTCACAAACCTAAGGATGCTAAGCACAAAACATGCACAACCCCTAAGTTTCTAAGCACAAAACATTCACAAACCTAACTTTACCTAGTTTAGGTGGCTTAGAAAGCGGAAGGAAAACCAACTCGATTTAGTCTCCCTTGAAAGGGGGATTTTCCTCTCTAAGCTAGGCTAAGGTGGCTAATTAGAGTGCTAGCACCTACATGCACAAACCTAAGGGTGATAAGCACAATCCTTAGGTTGCTAAGCACCTAAATTCACAAACCTAAGGATGCTAAGCACAAAACATGCACAACCCCTAAGTTGCTAAGCACAAGCATGCACAATGACCATGAAAACACCTCTAATACTCAAATTGATGCAAACCCACACTTAATCATACAATCTAAACAAGTAATTACAAAGTATTAGTTAGGGATCTACAACACCCAAGAGAAAAGAGTGAGGTTTTAGAGAGAGAGAGAGAGATATATATATATATATATAGAGAGAGGGAGAGGGATTACCAATTTGAGCTCAAGTTCTTCTTCTTCTAGGCTTGAATCCTACACCCAAGCCTCCAATGATGCTCCAAGATCACTCTAGCACTCTCTCTCTCTCACTAGAAATCCCCTTTGGTGTTTTAGGTTGAAACCTAGAGAAAGAAAGTGTTTCTTCTCCAAAAACCAGCTCTCCTTTCTCTCTCCCCGTTGTTGTCTTCATATTTTCCCGAAAGCGATCAGTTCACGAACACGTTGGCTAGTTCACGGCCGTGAACACCTAAACGCGTCCTTGAACTCAGCGTCGTCCAAAACGCGCCGCTTCACTCTCCTAGGTTCACGGCCAATAACCCTAGTTCACGGTCTTAGAGACCGAGAACTGCCTTGTCGTCAGTAACTTCACGAGCCTCGCTGGACTGCTCGATGTTCATGGTTTGCGGTCCATGTTCACGGTCTTAGGAGACAGAGAACTGCCTTGTCCGGCCGTGAAATGCGGTTGTTGCCTGGGACGCCTTCACTTCACTACTACTGGGAAATTGTCACGGACTTCAGACTTTTCTTCGGTTTTTTTGCGCTTTTCAACCTCCAAATATCTCAAAACTCGTCCTCGACCCTTCCACGCGTGCTAGCACCTGAAATGTATCAAAACAAGCACAACCTAGCGTGGGATATGTCGAGGAACGGTGAAATACTAAGCTATACGAATAAGAAATAAGGGGTAAAATGTGTACATTTGGGCCCGAATCAGATATGTTTTTGCTTGAGTGGTGGTTGGTAGCCACCGTGGCATGGTTCAGGTTAATTTTTTGTGTGGGATAATCCGTGAACACCTAGAACCCTGCCTCGGTGTGCTTGTGCTTAATTGTTTTGATTAGCACGAGTCCGTAGTGGAAATATAAGTGTGGGGGGAATTCCTTTATCCTCCCAATGATGTGAGATTGACAATTATTTCCACGTATGGTGCACGTTTGTCGATTTTGCAGGATGCTTAACATGGACCACGAGTACATCAGCTACTTAGTGAACCACGCACGGTTCGGGACCAAGTTTGCATACCAGAGGGATATCCCGACTGGGCAGCATTGGCGGTTGGACCTGAACATGTTTAACATGTTCAGGTGTCAAGCCGTGATGTCAAGGACGCATGTCACCCCCTGTGGCGCCAGTTGTTATCTATGGAAGAGCTCATCTATGATGCATTCTCAAAGACCATGGGGCTCGACACGACATATATGACGATGATGGAGTGGCAGTACACCGTCGAATTTCACTACCAGGCCGCATTCCAGGCCCTCTGCCGCTCCGAGCACGAGCAGGACGAGTTTGAAGCTGGTCGCACAAATGCGGTGAAGCTGAGGACCCCTTGGAGCATCATGAACGCGCTGCTCACCCAATTTTCCGTCCTTAGCTCGCAGTCAGGGCATTTGATACCGAATAGAGGGCTGCTTGCTCTCTTTTTGATAAGGCATCCAGCAGATCCGATCCACCTGGGATCTCTGATTGTCACCTCTTTCGCCCGATGTCTTGGGCAGAATAGGTTGGACACTATGCACATGGGGGGCATCATCACCAGGTTGGCATGACACTTTCAGGTGGATCTGGAGCGGTGCTCAGTCATTGGCCGGACAGAGCCCTTCCCAATGGCGACTCTATACAACCACAAGCTTGTGCTTCATGAATAGTAGGGGTGGGGGGGGTAGAGTACCTTAAGGGGCTCCGACCCTCAAGAGTTATGAGGCCAGCAGTTGACCCGGCTCCAGTGGAGCCGATGCAGGGGTTCCACCTCTAGAGCAGCCACATGCTCGAGCTCCCGGCCGCCACCGGTGTCCCGCGCTCTAGCGCCCTACACCACCACCGCCACCACCACCGCTACCATCCAGTGTCGGTCCTTCCAGATGAGGAGCTGCCTAGAGACCCACATTGTGGGCGTAACTTCCCGGTTAGACCGGCAGACCGACCCGCTCGAGCGGATCGCTCATCGCCAGGGCCTCATTCCAGATGATGAGCAGGGGCCTTCGACCCAGTGAGAGGTAGCCGACGAGTGAGACATGTGGTAGAGCCGATTCCTTTCACCCCACTTCTCCACTTGGAACTCTGAACTCTGTTGTTTTATTTTTCCTTCTTTTATTTAGTATGTGTGAACAACTACTACTATCATATTGTTTGTGTAATAACCTCTACTCGAGCGAGTATGTGTTGTGTTTGTGTGTGTGTGTGTGTGTGTGTGTTTTTGTCTTCTCCTTGAAGCTAGACTATCATTCCCCGGAAAAATTCCAACTTTTACTCACCAAGCAAAGCGGTAACATCGTTCTACCCCTATCTTACACCATTGAGGGCAATGTCGAACTTATGTGTGTGTGTGTGTGGGGGGGGGGGGGGGGGTAGTTTATTCTTATGCTTGTGTGAGTGTGATTGATGCTTGGAGCCTTGATATATGCCCAAATTTGAAAAATTTGAGGGCTCCAAGCAATGTTTGCATGTTCAAAGTGGCCGGTTTGTGGAGAATCTCGTGTTTATTGGCATTCATGAGATGCTTCAAATTTGAACATTCTCACCCCCTTGGCGTAATAAATTTCAGTATCTGATGGCAGGATGAAGCTACCCCATTGAAGATAGCCAAGAGCGGGCACCCCAATATTGCGTCGTAAGGAGAGGGGCAATCCACAATGTCGAAGTTTACCGTGTGGGTCACCTTAGGCTCCTCATCTCCCAAAGTTATTGGAAGGCGCAAATTTCCCATCACTTGTGTCTACAAGTCTCACGATGCGAGGCAACAATTGCATCCTCTAAAAGGTGGACCGGAACAACACGCCTATTGAGCTCCCTGTGTCTACCAACATTCTCTTTACTTCGCATCCTGCCACCACCCCTCTTACTCAAGCTCTTCCACCGAGGGCACTCGACACGCTTCCTTGAGTGCCTCGTTAAAATGGATATGTATTGCGTGTTGCGCACTTGCGTAGCTTATTTTTGTCGCCTCCCATCCTCTAGCTTTTTCCTTCAGTTTATCGATCCCGTGATCGCTTCTATTATCATCCTCACGCTCCACGCGTTGGTCTCTGGATCCACATCGAAGGGGGGAGGAGGGTGGACAACACTCCTTTTACCTCACGGTAAGCGCCTGGCATCCAAAATTCTTCGTCGGGTGCCTCTGTCCTTTTATATTGTGCCATGAACGTCCGATGTGCTTTATCATCCCCCTTATTCACGAAATCACTCAGCATTCCTCGTTCAACCAACCCTTAAATCTCATACTTGAGTTGGTAGCAATATGTCGTATGATGCCCCCTCTCCATGTGGAATTCAAAAATTTTGCCATGGGGCGTGTCATCTCTCCTTGTCGCGCGTAGGACGCATTAACTGGGATAATTTGCATGCGTGGCGCCATGTATCCTTTCTTTGACCCTTCCCTTTCGCTTGTCCATTCTTCGAGCCATGAGAGTTACTTAAAGCATAATGACCTTCTGCACTCTCCTCTCGAAGTCTTCTATGGCCGTTGCTTCCCATTTTGAGATTTCCTTACATAACTCTTCGCTCGTCGTACACTCCTCCAAGCAACACCACAAGACCGGTGACTTGACATCCTTGACCGCCATCGCCACCGACATCCACCACTCGTAGAAGTCTCTGAGCCCTTCGTTCTGCCTCTGGTGCACCTTGAATAGGGCTATGATGGTAAGGGTCATGCACTTTCTACTTGCGAATTTTGACAAGAACATGGCGGCGAATTCCTCAAAGCACTCTATCCTTCCCTCCTCGATTTGGTGGTACCAGTCTAGAACCACTCTTGTGACCGTGGATAGGAACGCTCGACACATGGTGGTGTCGGAGCTGCTATACAACTGCATCTTTGTGAAGTAATTGTTCAGATGATCCTCCCAGTCGATCGTCCCATTGTACCTCCGAAATGCCGGAATGATCGAATTGGCTCGCTCAGACCGTATACTCCGGGCTAGGGGCTACCTCACGCCACAACTTCTTCCTACGTGCCTCTGTGCCCACCTGTTGTGCTCATCAAAATCCAATGGCAAATGCCTAGTCAGATGTCTCGTTTCCATGGTGCGCCTGACTATGCTCGATGCCCCTTGTCATCTTCATCGCTCTCTCTCTCTCCGGTTGGATCCTGGCGTCGGCGGGGTGCCTCCCCCTCTTTTTCGGCGCCTCGATTTCCCTTTTTAACATTTAGAGTGCCTTGTCTTGATTTTGTATAATCCATATCAAGTATTCTCCCGTCTAAGTGGTTTCCTCCATCAGCATATCCTCGCTCTGTTCATATCCTTCTCCCGCCATGGGTATACTCGCGGCTGCCTATGGTGGTTCACGCTCTCGTTCTCCCTCCTTTCCGCTAAGTGCCTCTATGTGTCTCAAGTATTAGGCTATATCCCCTACCTGGCGCACCAATTGTTTATGCTTAGATGCCCCCACCACTATCGTGCGCCTTCCACTTCTTCCTTCGAGCCGCGAGGCGCCTGATCTCCTACACACAAGGCCCACAGCGGACCTATGTGGTCTGTTGGCCCTCTGACGATCAAGTTAGTGCGCTTTGTAGAGAGAGAATTAAAGAGAAGTTTAGTGACAAAATGGCCAACTAAATAAATGAGGTTTGCCTACTTTCGTAATTATACTCAAAGCCTCGCCGACCAATGCCCCACCCTTGCAAATTCATCCTACGTCAGCATGGTAATTAATATATTGTACTTTCCATTTACCATGGGCTTCGACCATCTGACACCACTCTTAGAGAGTCTAGGCGTATGACATTATTTGTTCATCTTTCCGTATGCTCTTATCCGTTAGGTGTCTTTTTTCGCTATGCGCCCTCTGTCAGTGCCCTGGTCCCACATGTCCAAGTTGTCCTATATGCCCTTCGGTCGGGCTTTGTGTTCCTTCCGTCAACTTGGGCTTTATTCTATGGGCCTTCATCCTCCCCTAAGGAATTATTCATAATTTATTTATATAGCTATTCAACATATATATTATTTTAAAATGTAATTATATAAATAAATATAGAAAAGAAACTTGAATATAAACCTTTAACGACGATTTTAGTGACTATTGAACAAACAGTCGCTTAAAGGTGGTCCGAAACCGTTGCTCGGACCGAAGATGATCGTCTGAATTCGACTGGCGGACATTCCTACCCGGCCCAAAAACCGGTCTCGGCCGTACAACTACAAACTTCGTCTCTAAAAATTCGTTGCTAAATATTAAAATTCAACATTCTCCAAGTTTGTTCATTATAGAATTGTATTATGTTAATTAATTATACATATTTTGGATAATTATATAAATAGATTATCATAATTTTTACAAATAACAAATAACTATGATTATATATTTTAATAGTGTTAAAATTAGTAAATTAAGTATATTACTTTGGTATAAAATAGTTTAAAAAATAGAAAAGGGTTAAATTGGATTTTTTACAAAACTTATGGGTGCAAATATTAATTAAGTTTAAATCCTAAATTATGAACTTCAAACCCTAAACACTAATTCAATGCTAAAACAATTAAATAAAACAATATCTTAATTCAATACTTAATACAAATAAAGAAATGAGACAAGGTCACAATTGTCATTTTTGTTGTAACTTTGGGCGACAAATAGTAATTTGTAGGGCGGGAAATAACAACTCTCAAAAGTAAATGTTGACTCAAAGGATTACCTTAAGGAGGCCTTTCCCTTTGGAAATTAATTTCAACCAAGATGGTCACAACAAAGCCTAACTACCAATGCAACCGTCATAACCATACATCCAAAAACTATCTTAACACTGTTATTCTTGCAGACTTCTTCTTCAGAAGTTCGATTCAAGATATAATTGGAAGTAGGGGGTGTTCAAATGGTGTGGTTACCGTGGTAACCGTTTTAATTGGTAGTACTTGGCTAAATTGGTTTGGTTTGCTTAAATTTTTTAGCTTGTTTGGTTTAGGTGGTTTGGTTTGATTTCAGACACTCCTAACCAATCAAACCTAATTAACGAGTTAAGTAATTAGCCATATATCTAATATATTATATACACATACTTAATACTTTGCATAACCACTTAAGAGTCAAATGTAAGAAAATTGTATTTTTTACATGTATTCACATTAAGATTAACTTATAGTTGATTGTTATGTGCTTTTCATTATATAAATTGTGAATTGATGCACTAATTGGAAATTTTTCTCACTTAATGATAGTGTTATGTTATATTGGTTATTTTGGTTAACTAATTCACCAAACCGAATAAACTTTAGTTTGGTTAATTTGGTTGTTGCATTAGTTTGGACAGTTTGGTTATGATATTCTATTCCATGGTTAATAGGATTTCGTCTTATTTGGTTTGGTAAATATCATGGTAACCATTTGAACACCCCTCAATGGAAGTGGAAGAAGAGAAACGAGCAGGCTTTGTTGTGGAGATGACCATTCTCTGCCCGTTGCCACAATCGCAGTAGATGCTCCAATCAATCGAGAGAGAAAAACTAACCAAGATTCGACCGGTCCAATCAATCTCGTCTTTGGTTCTCATATTTCCAAAATACTGGATCAGAACCAGGTCAATCCAGGCCAGTTTAATCAGACCAGACAGTATAGTCATCCGTCAGGAGAGTGTGTTATTTAGAAGAGGATAATATAATTAGGGTTTAGGGAGTCAAGTAGTTATTAACAAAATTAACATCAAATAATTATCACCGTAATAGTATTAATGTATTCTCTAATGGCAAAAAATATTATTAGTATGATCTCATTCCAAATTACGATTATGCGTATTAATTAACCAGCACAAGGCATGTGTCTTTCATTTTGTATTACACTACGACTTATCTAGAGAAATACTAAAATTATTATGAGTATGTTTAGAACATAATAAAACACACAAGAAAGACAAACTGACTAACAAAAAATGCAACTAATACTGACATATAATTCTGCAAACAAAGTGTTGCCTGTATCAAATTCCATAAATGACAACATGGGATTTGCTTCCGATGATGCATACATAATCAATCTTCACAATAGAAGAAAATGATTGTCCTTTGAGGAGTTTGATGAATCGATGAAATATACCCCCCCCCCCCCACCATTTGTATATACTTTGTTGACCATGGGACGAATTTTTCATTGAAATTATATGATTTGAATGAGAGAGGACATGTTGGAGATATGTCACCACCTGTGTACTTAACTGAACAATATACTTATTTCTGATGCATCGCGTTATCGAGCTTTACAATTTATAAACTCAATCATTGACAATACTAACTTTAGCTTACCGACATTATAGAAATGACGACAGAGATCAGCTACAACGCCTTTGTTTCTTGTCGTCGTTCAACATCCCCAGACCCGACCCCAACTTGAATGAAAACGTTGGCGTAGAATGGTTGAGGACACAAGATTTGAGTTACTTATAGGGGTTTTGGATTATGACGAACTAGGGGTTCTGGTAAGCTTGCTTCTTTGTTACAGATGAGTAGATATATGGACTAGCTACAGATAAGTGGGGCGGATTGATTTAGTCGGCGACGGAACAAAATGGTGGTAGAAGGCGGTTGAAACTAGGGAGATTGACTATGGAGTCGACGGAGGAGGAGCATCGGCGACCATCCGAATTCCTTGGTCTAACTAAATTCAAAATATTTTCTCAATAAAAGTAAAAGTAAAAGAAAATGTAAAAATGAGTCGCTCAATTGCTGGGTCGAGGCTGAATAGGCAGTCAAAACTACATGGCTCAGCCTTTTTTCTGCCTAGTCAGCACTTATGTTTGCCACGTCATCAAAAATCTGACGGTGCTAACAGAGTCTGACAGAGACTGACGGTCGGTGACGACTGGTGACACAATTCATAAAGTTAGTGGCTAATAAGAAAGAAAAGTAATTCGGGTGGCAAAAGTGATAGATTTATGTAATTCGAGTGACCAATCATGTAACTTAGCCTAGGATTAATTATTTGGGTAAGCAATATTCGAGTATTATTACGTTATTTATTAGTTTTCCTATCTTTCCAATAAATATGTACTTTGGGTTTTCATTCAAAATCAATAAATCTATCTCTTCTTCACTAAACTCGACTGCATATCATTCCTTCTGTACTTCCCCGATTATATTCTCCAATCTTTAATCCCAAATCCCTTCCTCCTTCTTTTATTTTATCTCTAAATCCCTATTCTCAATCGGAATCCCAATTATAAAACTAATTCGGACAAGCCATAGATCTGGGTTTCCAAGAGCCTTTTCGTTGATAATGATATTTTGAAATCTTGTTGCTAATACTAGTTGTGACAATCATAGAAACTCCCTTTGCTTTTAACTGTCTAAACCCTCCAATATTCCTAATATCCTTGATGTTTTAGGATCTAATTGCTTGCTGACATCTATTGATGTTGGAGGCGAAACTTAGCTTACCGATTTGTGGAGCGAGAGCGAGAGCGAGAGCACGAAAGCGTCTATGTTGCGAGAATTATATTTTGAGAGCGTCAAGAGAGTGTTCATATTATATTATTTTAATTAATATATTATATAATATACTAATAGAACTTGGACAAAAGAACAAAAGTTGTAATTGCTACTTGTACTAAACTGTTAATTAATTTCATACCTACAGTAATATAATGTTCCAGAGCTAATTTTTGGGCCGTGGATTTTGGTTTGGTGTATTGGTTTTGTAAACGTGGGCTTTTGTTTTAAGGTTTAACTATTGCTTAGTACTATTTTGAGCCCATATCCATTTGGAGGCCACAACTAAGTTGACAGATGACCAGAGTAAGGTATTATTCCCCCTTTATTCCATCTTCTTCCACTGTTTCTTTCTTCTTCAACTCTGCCCTTTCTCTGTAGAATTTTAAATCCCTAAAGCTAAGCATGGTAGAATTTCAATACAGAGTTTTCCCATCGCAGTGAAGCATTTTCGGAAATCCCTCTCGCTTATCTCTTCTTTCTACTCCAATACATCATCTCTCATGGTAGTGTAGCGATGTAGATTGCAAACATATTTCCAGAAATCCCTCGTCGTTGTCACCGTCCTCTCTCTCCCACTGAACATTCTATGAGGTCTTAATCCGCGTTCTCCCCAAATATTTCAAGATCTCTTCAATTGGTAATGTACTTTCGGATGCATGTAGAGACTCCATGTAACATCCCGTTCTGGAAAAACCCATATTTCGGTCGCTAGAAAGTTCACGATTT